GTCAAGCACCCTCGAGGCAGTTACACAGTGCTTACAACTGTCTCTGGAAGTGAAAGCACCAGAAAATAAAATAAGTCATACGCAGCTGCCATTCGTACGCAAGGAAGTAAGGTCAAGATGCCGACCACCCTTAGCAGGATGCAGCGCACCCTTCATGCGAATCGCCGAATACCTCACGGCGCTTCGCGCTTGGTGATGTGAGAGCCTGGTCCGGTGAGAACCCGCCGTGCTCCGTCCCGGCTTTGTAGGGATGCGAGGTCAATGGTCTAACGACTACGGCATACACAACTATGAGTACACCCCCCCGCCCCCGCCCACTCTATCTCCTGTTAGCTTTGATCTATGGGATATTTCGTGGCTGCAGGGGCGCTCTCGCCTACGGGCGGCCGCCCGAGCCGGTGATTTTGCGGTAACGAGAACGGTGCTCCGAGTGTGACCCCCCGAACGTCGGGCAATACTATTGTTCTGCGGAGCTCAACGGTGTAGGGGGGGGGCGGTGCCTTGTGACCCTCGGACTCCCCTCGTCGTCGTGGGCCAGGGCAGGCTACGAGTTCGTAGAAAGCACGTGTTGACGGAGATGGGGGGGGGCGGGCCACCGGCGTGAGTGCAAGGTGGCAGGTGACTTCGATGGCTTTTTCCGTGCGCACACGGCCGGGCTCCGCGAGTGGGAGGCCGTTACCTACGTCGGATAGGTGTTCCACTGATGTTATTTCCTCGATCCCCACGGCAAGGGGGCTACTACAGTAGGTGGAGCTCTGCCCTAACGTGGGGTTCTCGGCCGGACAGGGTGTTCAGCCCAACGTCCCTGCGACAAGCACGATGTATGCTGCGAATTATATCGGCAAACGGTCTGTTTCCAAGTTGCAGATTCCGTACCGCGAACAACCAGGTCAGGAATTAGTGTGAAATGCAGTTGAAGAGGGCGGCGCCCCGTGTTCGAGTCCCCAAGTGGAGGCGTACGTTCAGCAAAACCCAAATGCAGCCGATTCGTTGCCGCGAGGACGTGGTCACAAACAGGTGAAGTGATCGGCCATGTTACCGTATGGAAGCTGTAACACAATATATCAGCACACAGGCGAAGCTTAAGAATCTGCGGGTGGTGCCAGTGGTCCAAGCCTCATCCTAGGTCTTGGTGTACGACGAATACCTGTTGTTTGGATCGTCTCGCCGCACATGGCTTTCGAAATCGCACATTTTCGGGAGCAACCTCCATACGGGAGCCCACCTATCACGAAAACTTTACACGCTCACAAAATCATTGCGTTACAGCTATTTCCCAGGTGGGCGATGCTTGTGGGTGCCCGTCGGCCGGTGTGCCACATGCAGTCCAGTCAGGGGTAACGCCAACACCAAGTCTGCCAGCTCATCATGGGGGGTGCGAAAGGGGCGTAGTCTCAACTCGGGTCCTGCAAAAAAGCTACCTCTGTTTTTGCCAGTGTTTTTTGCTCCACACAATCACAACGTCCTGCTTTTCCGGGCAGCATAAGCCTCATCGTGTTTTCCCCTGCTGACTAATCACCGTCTGCCCGCCCCCCCCCATGTTGCTTTTTCAGGGCCTTCTTGCGGCCCTAGGCCGATGGTCACGAGAAAAATCGGAAATGCCGAAGGTTGGACGGGACCATCGGCCGCTACAGGAAGCCTCACCAACCACACATGCATCAATGATCCACTCCAAGGAAGAGAAAATAACGCCTTAAAACTGTAATGGGTGCCTACTGAACGATAAAACTGGAGTTCTCGTAAGCAGCGACGACTGGCGAAGGGTTCCGTTCGTCGGCCGCCTCTGCGACTCCTGCCGATGCTGCTGACCCATCTTCTGCCGCCGGCAATGGTGGGTGTTCTGGCTCCATGCCCGCAACTTGTTCGGGAGACGGCGAGGCATCGGACGCGGCCACCGAGGCACCGCATAGCCGAGCGGGGTCGCTCGCCGTAGCCCGGGCTTGCTTGTGTCGCTTCCTCGACGTCGGTGGGATGACGACCATCTCGTCCCCCGCGTGTGCTCGGCAGAACTTTTTCTCCCTGCTCCCTGCCAACCCGTGGCTTGGCCTGGTGGAGCAGTCCTCGTGGGCACACCTCTTGCCGAGCAAGGAGATCATGCCCTCTACTGCGTGCTCTCCACAAAACTCCCGCTTCTCCGTGCCCATCACGCCGTGGCTCCTTTGTTTGGAACATCCCTCGTGGCCACACATCTTGATGTGCAGGTTGATCATCTCTGTCGGGGCGTGTGCGAAGCAGAATTCCCGCGTCCTGGTACCTGGCAAACCATGGGTCGGCTGCTTTTGACAACCAGGTTGCCCGCATTTCTTGTTAACAACATCGATCATTCCCTCCGCCGCATGCTCAGAGCAAGCCACCGGCTTCTTGGTACCTGCAACAGCCACCGTAAGTGGCGTGTTGGTTTGAGGCGGACACTAAGGCGTAGACAAGAAAAATAGAGGTTTATTGAAAATCGACCTGTCATGCCGATTGTATCGGGGTACTCGGGCAATTTTTCGTGGTGCGGAGGCCCTCGAACGAGATGAAGAGTTGCATATTCTACCACTCTGTTCAAGGGTTGTGTTCACACAGAGAGAGTCCTTAGCGTGCCGGGGAGAGAGAGAGAGAGAGAGTAGCGCAGAGACAACGAGCAAGGTAAAATACACAAAAGGCTGCTGCCAGCCTGGGAGCTGAATTCGGTTTTTTCCCACCCACCCCTATTATTTTGAAAGCGCGGGAAAGGACAGCACTGACTCCAGTCACCGCTGCAGTTACAATACTAGGGCGAAGAAAACGGTGGGGTGCCATATGGGGAACTTGGTCATCCTAGACTGCGTGCAGCAAGATTAGTCCCTGACACCGAGGTAAAGAGAACTACTGTAGTGGTTGCCGCTCGCAGGACAGAGAGAAGCAGTCTGGAGGCCAGAGTTACGTTAGAAAAGGCACAGCAAGGGTCTGCGGGCGGGAAAGGTGCTCTGCCGGTATCTCTCCCTTGCGTCGAGTGTATATTAACGACGGCAATTCTAAAGAACAACAAGCGCAATCAAAAGAAAGCCATACCTGCAACACCATAGATGGATCTCTTCCCGCAGCCCTCGTGGTGGCAGATCCTCCTTGTTGCGCTGACCATCCCTTGAAGGGCATGCCTCTTGCAGAACAATTTTTTTTCACCAGGCAGGCCGCACCTTGCTCCGTTCCGGCAGCCTTCTCGCATGCACGTGGTCTGCTTAAGATTGACCATGCCCTCGAGTGCATGCTTGGAGCAGAACTCCATCTTCTCGCTGCCTGTGACACCAAAATATGCTGTCGTGAAGCAACCATCGCTAGCGCATTTCCTGTTGGAGAGGTTGACCATCCCTTCCAACGCGTGTTTGTTGCAGAACTCCATCGGCCCACCTTCTAACCCAAATCTCGCGGGCTTGAAGCAGTCGTCTCTCGCGCACGCCTTCTTCACTAAATTGACCATGCCCTGGAGTGCATGCTTGGAGCAGAACTCCATCTTCTTGCTGCCTGCGACACCGAAGCTTGCTGTCATGAAGCAACCATCGCTAGCGCATTTCCTGTTGGAGAGATTGACCGTCCCTTCCAACGCGTGTTTGTTGCAGAACTCCATCGGCCCACCTACTACCCCAAACCTCGCGGGCTTGAAGCAGTCGTCTCTCGCGCACGCCTTCTTCAATAAATTGATCATGCCCTGGAGTGCATGCTTGGAGCAGAATTCCTTCTTCTTGCTGCCTGCGACACCAAAGCTTGCCGTCGTCAAGCAACCATCGCTAGCGCATTTCCTGTTGGAGAGGTTGACCATCCCTTCCAGCGCATGTTTCGAACAAAACTCCCGCTTCTTGCTGCCCGCCACGCCATAATGCGCACGCGTAGAACAACCGTCAATGCTGCACTCCTGGCTCACGTTGACTGAGGTCGCAAGAGAATGCCGTGCGCAGAACTCTGCCTTCTTGCCTGCAACACCGTGAGTAGGTTTCCTCGTGCATCCGTACAGGGTGCAGCTACTCCCACCAACGTGTGAATCGCTCATTGCTAACTCCCCCTCCCTTTCGTCTTCAGCTTCTCGAATGTCATCCGACCACATCTCTTCCTTGACTACGCCACCAAACTCGCTGGACTCCCCCCCTCCTCGATAGAGTCGATGCATTCTACAGTAGACGATCCTCGTAGATTAGTTGAAAATACAGCGGTGTCCCGACTCGGTGCTGTTGAACAGCTCAAAGGCCTTGCGGATCGAAATGCGCAGCAAGAAGCGGTGCCTGCTTACGACAGCAACGCTGTCCCCGAGACCGCACAAGTAGCCACGTTCCGGTGCACCAAACGACCGCGTAACACCTGCGTGATTTGACACCGAGGAAATATATTTGGCATCCGAGCCGGTCAGTCTGTTGTCAGGCCGTATATTAACGAAGTGCCGAAAATCAAAATCGAAAAAATCAAAATCAAAATCGAGATCTGATTGGTCGCATATCTGCTACCTCCTGACGACGCCCTTTGATTTTATGGAAGTTCCTCTGTCTGGGAAGAAGTCCCCGGGGGACATATATTATCAAAATCAGAATCAAAGAGGCAAGGAGTTCAAGACTTCGAAGGCTTGGAGCACCTGCCGCGAGGCCGCTGCAAAGCAAGTGTGCGACACGACCTGCTGCACACCGCTCGTAGAGGGGATATCGGCACCCTACCACCGAGACCATGGCCATTATTTGTAGCCAGAAGACTCTGCTCGCCGGCAAGCCAAAAAACGGGCCGGCTCGTTGGGTGCTCGAGGAGAAAATGCCGATCTTGACAAGCGGTGAACGAACTGACGATCAGAACAGGGCTGCGCGGCTTTTCGGGCTGTTCCGTGCGGGAGAGGGTAGTTGCAACCTTTTTCTCCACACTCACGATACCCCAAGGCATCTAACCTTGTACGAGACAGATGGTGGGTAAAGCTACCTCCCGTCGCGTGGCATTGCTAATGCTGTTGCTTCCTCCTTCGAAGAGTTATCGCTAAAAAACTAAACTGTGAGCAGATATTCGGCGCGAACTTGAACTAGCCGCTCTCTGACGTGGATTTTTTAGGGTCAACCAAAACGTTTTTCCCTAGACGTACGATACCCCATGGTAGCAGACCTTGGGCTTAAAAGATGGAGCAGAGAGGTACCTCCCGTCGCGTGGCGTTGCTGTTGTTGTTGCTTCCTTCTTCGGAAAGTTATCGGTGGATATCACAACCCGTGGCGGCCCAAAACACCGAACTTGAAGTGACCGCTCGCAACCGTTGGCATTTTTGCTTCAACACAACCTTTTTTTGCCGGCGCATTCGGCAGCTCACGGCGCCAAACGTTGGCATTGCCCAACAGCCCATGTTTCCAGCTCCTTCCGGATACTGTTCTTGAGGCAACTCGTTGAGTATTTGGCGAGATATCGGCTAACACGTGAACAGAAGAGCGTGAAACGCACCCTAGAAACATCACCGCTGCGCTGCTGGCTCTTCCCCTGCTGGCGCCAGGTCTTTTTTGGTTTTTTGCCTCATCTGTCTCCTGTGCTCGTTAACATACACGACCCTCTTTTTTCAGTTTTCCACGATAATTCACAGTTTCGGACTGGGGCTCCAAATTTGCTGAGATAAGGAAACAGATTTTGAGATAAGAAAGTTTCCTGGAAACTTCCTGCAGGCGAATATTTTTCGATTTAAGGCGGCTTCATGTGATTGGCTGTGGGACGACAGTCACCCAACCAACTTCCCCTGTTCGCAGGTACTGCTGTTTTTTGTGGTGCGCTGCGTGACAGCTGCACCCTGATCACAGCGCTCCCACTGCTGTTGAATGTGCGTGCATGCGTGTCTGTGTTGCCCCCTTAACCCCAGCACACGAACCCGCGCCAGAACAGCGACAGGAAGTACACATAATGCCCGGCAGCCCTGTACGAAGTGCTGTGTATCGCATTTCAAGCGTTGGGGAGAGGGTGATTTTTTTGGGGCGGGGGCACATCGAAGTCAAACACGCTCTCTCAAGTAGAAGCAGAGAATACTCTTTCTTGCGGCGCGTCACCAGAAGGCAACAGCAGCGTGCTCTTCCTCCTCTCTGCCCTTTGCTGGCGGTGCTGCCACCCCCTCTACGTCGTCGGTTGCTGCGGTTCGTTCCGGCGCTCTTTCTCCCCCTTGCCTCAACCTCTGTGTGTGACGGGCGCGTGTTGCTGACCTAAAGCCGCGCAACAACCAACCCCAACTTGGTTTTCTGACCGTGCAGCCTCCCCCTTTCTGTGTTGGTGGCGCGCCAACTCCAGGGCATTTGCGCTGGGCGCTGGGTTTTATGTGGGCGGCCGCTGGACATGCTCTTGCAGACTGTGTGTGTGCGTGCGTGTGGGTGGCGCCTGATGATGTGTTGTGTGTGGTGCCTGATGTGTTATTTCAAAGAAAGCTGCTAAATCGAAAAGTTGGCAAAATTTTCCACAAAACCAGCCTCCCTCCGCTGTTAAATCTGATTATTTTTCCCTTATCTTGGGTTCTGGCGAGACTGTCAGGAACGATCCTCAGAACGATGGCTTAACTCAAAATATATTTCCTTATTTCAGTTTTTTTTTTGTTCCGAAACTCTCTAGTTTCGGAACAAAAGTTAGATATAAGAGCGTTTCAGATTTAGATTTTAGTTTAGGAATGTTCTGGGAAGATTATTCTGTGGCGAACAGTCTCAGATTTAAGAAATCTGGGACGTTTTATGACGTGGGTTCTAAACGTGCTCTGATTGGCTGATTGTCACAGTCTGGGAAGACCCACCGCACACACAACGCGCGGCCCTCCGACACCGGGAGCGCGAGGTACACACACACACGATACCAGCAGCCAGCACACGCACCTCAACCTGGCTACAGGTCCCACCATGTCACGTCTGCGCATCCGTGAGAGGATCGCGCGCAAAACACGAGCGGTAGTGTTCTTGCAGTGCCGACAGATGTTCGAGGCCTACACCGACATGTGGATGGCATACAACATGGCCTTCATCTACACGATGGCGAGTCTTGTTACAGACGATGTGGCAACACGTGTTGCACGCCGAGACGTGACAAACTTCTTCAGCCCCCCAAGAACTGCATCAACTTTCTTCGCTTCCACACAGCCGCAGGTAGGTGCTTCCCCAGTTCTCTGTGTGTATCCCACTTGGAAGAACGCCACACTGCTGTGCTGCTGCAAGACCATGCATGTAGGCAGCACCAGTACACGGCACCGGGACACTTGTCCCCACACACTTTGTCCACATGTTGCCCGGGGTGTGTATGCAGCGGCAGAGCGATAGAAGAAGTGTTGAATGCACAAGCCGTGGGACTTCGGCGGATAGAGGGTGACACCACACTGCTTTGCTCCTTTTTTCTTCGTTCCAGATCATGCTTATGCTGGATCTTCTCTTGATCCCTGCGTTCATCCGAACCGACTGTGGGTTTGCCGTGAGTGGGCGAGAGGCTCTTTGCGTGCTACTGTATCGCCTGGTGTTTCCATGCCGTCTGAAAGACATGCGCTTGGTTTTCGGGTTGAGCGAGTCGTGCATCAGCGAAACGTTCAATTGGATGCTGCACTTCCTCGAGTTCAAATGGGGCTGGCTGCTCTCCCTCGACGTGGAGCGACTGAAGCCGAGGTTGGTGGAGTTCGCCGAAGCCATCTACAACGCGGATTGCCCTCTCACACACTGCTGGGGCTTCATCGACGGAACCGTCCGCGGCATTGCGAGGTGTGTGTAATAATTATTGCCGCTTTTCAATGGTCTATAGGAGTTAAAGCGGGGTGGGCACACCGGCAGTAGACTAGTATGCAGAGAAACCGATTCGCCGACTCTCACGAACAAAGTGAGGTTCAATTTTGTGATGTACCCAGGCAACAGTATGTCGGCCCCTTCTCCGTACGGTTCAAATGGAGCGACTGCTGAATCCCCCCAGCTTTTCATCATGTCGCCGGATTTGCATCGGCCAAACGCATGTTGTGTCGGTGCTTTTTGTTCTTGTACTCTTCGTAGGCCCGTGCGCTTCCAACGATGGTACTACAACGGCCACAAGAGGAAGCATGCCATCAAGTTTCAAGGCGTGATTACCCCTGATGGACTCTTCGTCGACATGTGGGGCCCTGTGCTTGGCACACGTCATGACAGTTACTTGCTTGCGCAGTCTGGACTGATGCAGAAGCTGGCAACACACTCTAACAGCCCTTCTGGCCACCCGTACTGCCTGTATGGAGACCCGGCATACGGTTTAAGCGACCATCTCGCCTGCCCTTTTAGTGCCTCATCCCACGGTCCACTTACGCCCGATATGGCCGACTTCAACCAGCGTATGAGCCACTGCAGGGTGGCCGTGGAGTGGGGCTTCAAGGAGATGACGAGCAAGTGGACGTTTGTAGACATGAAGCCGCAGCAGAAGTACCTGTTGAGCCCGGTAGGCAAGCAGTACCTAGTGGCTACCCTGCTCTCCAACATACACTCTTGCCTCAACGGAGGCAACCAGATTTCGCAGTTCTTTGACGTGCAGCCGCCCACCCTCCAGGAATACCTCAAGGTGTAAGTCGTATAGACTGTGACGTGTTTCAGACTTAAAACGGTGAACGCATCTAGTGATTGATGGAGAAACGCGAGCATGCCCTGTCGAGATACTCGCGCGACGAGGTGTTTGCACTGGGCATAAAAAGAGCAGGGTGGAAATTGTGGGTTAAATGCCTGTGATTTGCGCCATGGTTGAGCTTCGCCAACAAATGCCACGACCCAGTAGATTGAACGACCGGGGCGTTCTGGTGTGGTAGCATTAGCAAGTCCTTTGGTGTGTGGTTGTATGTTTGTGGGAAAATCAGGAGCTCTAGAGAGAGCCGGGAGGGCCCCTAGTGGAGGGGGTTCAGAGAAGTACCTGAACCCGTTTTAACTTCGTTTTTTTTACGCCCTCTTAACTGATCGTTTCAATATACTGAAAAGAGGGTAGTGCAGGCAAGTTGGTAGTGCAGGGTTTCCGAGGGAATCACTTCAACGTCTGCAAGCCTACCACTCAACAAGCCTTGCATGAGCCTGGGAGATGCGGCCATCATGTCGCGGCCGCAGTAAAGGTGCACATGGAGATAGCTAGTGCGGCTATAGAATTTGTTCTCACTCTCGCTCTCTACCACACCCTCTCGATTCTCTACAGCTCCATGGTACAAACCTCGAAACAGACAGTCAAGGTTCCTGGCCGGCGGCGAGTAGCGTCGACCAGACACCTGGACCCACAAGGGTTGAAGGGCTCCAGTTGATTAGCAACACACGAGATACACACGTCGAATCCCTGCGGCTCTCTACGGTAGGAAACGACTATGCAGAAACAGCAACAAGGGCTCCCCTTCGCTACAACGTCGGCGTCTTAGAATGCAAAGTAAAACACCACCCCCATAGCCGCCTACAACCTTGACGCGAAACAGTTAAACACAAACATGTATTTGGCGGCAGGAAGACGTGCACGTCGCAAACGAAGCAACTTTCATCGAGCCCCCCCCCCCCCCCCTCCCGCTATCTCGCACCGCAATCGCACGGCGCGGCATACCTCTTCGACACCCAACAAATGAAAAACAAAGCACTGCAGCCGCCACGCCGCCAGCAATGCGACAAGTACCCTCCCTTGAAAACCAAAGCTACGAAAAATAAAAACACTGCAGCCGCCACGCCGCCAACAATGCAGCAAGTATTCCCCCTTGAAAACAAAGCTACGAAAAAAAAGTAAGGGACTGCGGCCGCCACGCCGCCAACAGTGCAACAAGCACGGACGCCCCCCCTCCATTGAAAAACAGAGCTTCGACAAGACTAAACAAAACACTGCAGCCGCCACGCCGCCAGCAATGCAACAAGCACGGACGCCCCCAACTCCCTTGAAAAACAAAGCTACGAAAAAAAAAGCAAGGGATTGCAGCGGCCACGCCGCCAACAGTGCAACAAGCACGGACGCCCCCAACTCCCTTGAAAAACAAAGCTACGAAAAAAAAAGCAAGGGACTGCAGCCGTCACGCCGCCAGAAATGCAACGAGCACGGACCCCCCCCCCTCCCTTCAAAAACAAAGCTACGAAAAAGCAAAACAAAAAACACTGCAGTCGCCACGCCGCCAACAATGCAACAAGCATGGACACCCCCTCCTCCCTCGAAAAACAAAGCTACGACAAAAAAAAACAACACTGCAGCCGCCACGCCGCCAGAAATGCAGCAAGTATCCCCCCTTGAAAAAAAAAGCTACAAAAAAAAAAGCAAGGGACTGCAGCGGTCACGCCGCCAACAGTGCAACAAGCACGGACGCCCCCAACTCCCTTGAAAAACAGAGCTACCAACAAAAAAGCAAGGGACTGCAGCCGTCACGCCGCCCGAAATGCAACGAGCACGGACACCCCCCCCTCCCTTCAAAAACAAAGCTACAAAAAAACAAAAAAAAAAACACTGCAGTCGCCACGCCGCCAACAGTGCAACAAGCACGGACGCCCCCCCCCCCCTCCCCCAATGGCCGTATGGAACTAAAGGAATACTATATGCGTCACCCAACGCAACATTGTTTTCTTGTGCGTGGTACCAAAAAAACGTTCGAAGGGCTCCAATGCCTACGGTTTCTTACTCTCTGCCACGGCCAGCTGCAGCTTCAATCGCATCATTTCCAACTCGAATTTCTGGTCCCTTTCCTTGTCCGCCTTTTCTTCGGCACGCTTAACGGCCTCAGCCGCCTCCCGCTTATCCCTGTCCTCCCGTTCCTCCCGTCGCTCATCGGCACGCATATCTCTCTCGTGCTTGCGATCCAGCTGCCTTTCATCGCGCTCCCGCTGGAATCGGTCCTCCGCCCTCTTCTCGCTCCTGATTGCCGCAGCGTCTTCCCTGGCCGCCCTCCGAACCTCGTTTTTCTCGGCATTGTGGATCGAGCGCTCAATCATCCTATTTTTTGGACACAAAAAAAAAGACAACAAGCCACCTTTTGAATGCATTGCTCGTGCAGACGATATTGACGACACAACCGGGCACGAGGAAATAGACAAGCAAGAACTAAACCACAACGAGGTTGGGTATACCTTGCCTACTGATACAGGTGAGGTTGGGTATACCTTCACTTTGCAGGAGACAACACGAATATAAGGTACTCCATGACACACAAACCTGGAACCTACAATCGTTTCGACACGTTTTGTGAAGCAACCCAAAAAGTATAAAATCAGTACGCTCACCTGTTCATGCCCGTCTCCTCCTTCTTGCTGGTGCTTGTGCGGGTCTTCCTACCGCTCTTGCCCGTACGCTTGGCTTGCTTGTCGGGAGGTGCATCGTCGTCGCCGGAATCGCCGTCGTCGTCAGCGTCGCCGCCGCCGCCGCCACCGCCGGCGAAGTCCAGCAGTGTGTGGCTGCCGTCGAAAACCAGTCTAGACGCCAGAGCCCTCGTCAGCCCATCAAAGATCTCGTCCGACGGTTCTTCCAGAACTGGCCACCCAAGGCGGTACCTCTCGGCATGGGGAAGGACTCTAAACGCGGGATAGTCTTGATTGTAGTGGACAAAAAGTGCGTGCGTGAGATTTCCGCGCCTGTCTAGTCCAGGAGCTTTTGACGTATCTACGGGGTCCATGCCGTAGGCGTCTTCGTCAGCTGCAACGATGTCTCTCACAAATCTATCCACCGATTTCCCATCCCTTAGTCCCATGAGGTAGCCCGCAATCACACTCTCCATCATCCTCGTTGCGACATCATGTGGGATTTGGTCAGGCCTAAATCCGGCGTTGAGGAAAAGGTCGGCCTGCTCACGCGTAACGCCAACTTTCGATGCAAGGATCTCCATCGTCGGCGCGCGTAGCAGGTTGGCAAGGGGGCTTCCAAGCGGGGGGGTAAGTGTGACCCCACCCGCGGTAGCCGGGCTGGATCGGCCGCTACCGCTACCGCTACCGCTACCACCACCACTACCGAAACCGACCACGCCGCCGATGTTAGCGGGGCTCGATCGGCCGCTCCCACTACCAGACGGAGTGAACCCAGGCATGCGTCCCCTGCTGTCAATAACGCCACTCATCCGGCGCTCGTCGCTGGCGTGAGCTTCTCCGAAGGATGTCGCCGCTGCTCCCGGTCCGCACCGGCTATTGCCCATGTCAATGGCTGATTGCCCAAGCAAGTTGTGACCCGCCTTCCTCGCCTTTTCCTGCTGACTGTCTGCCCTCTCCCCGGTCCTGGCGTCTAGCACGGATTGCACAAGCTTCTCCTGCGAAAAAGGAGCAAAATTGGCAGACATAAAAAAGCGCGGCAAGACCAGCAGCAACTGTCATGTCTCCAGTTACTCCATTTGCACATTCCCGCGTTTGCTACAGACCTTGCTTGACTTCTAGCATGTTTTTCGCGAACGCATACAGCTGAACGCGCTCGTCATACAGGCAGCGCGCTACCCCGAATGATCGTTGTCAACAAAACGCTGATACGACGACTATAGGTGTATCACAGCAGGTGAACAAATCCGCGTAATCAAACCGATTAGCTTCTCACCAGCTCGGCTTCGTCGCCCTCGAGGTCGTCGGCGGAGGTATTCCCTGCTCCGGATGCTTTTGCCGCCTCCTCGTTCTTCTTCGCTTGAGCGCGAATGTGCGAGTCGAAGCGCGACTTCAAATGCTTGACCGTCTTGCTGCCGAACACTCTCACATATGGCTCCTTGCTCAAGTCCTCGACGACTAATGCCCACCTGTCTTCAACCCTGTCGGTCAGGCCAGCCACTCGCCAGGTCTTGTGCTTGATAGCTGCCGCGACAGAGAATAGTGTTAACAAGCACGAATAATATGCGAATTTGTTGGTGAAGAGCCCACGGGGCCGGTGTCTTTTTCGGGAGAGATACCTAGCACCTCTCCTAACAAACCTACCCAGACGGATGCAAATGTGGTAAGTGGAATAGCAGGCACATTTGGGCGCACGGGTGGAATAGAACTTTGGATGTTGTAACGTTTTCGCCACACCTTCCTGTGCCACGCCAACCACTGCTGTACATACCTCCAGAGCTGCCCGCTCGTTACACTACTGTACGGGA